GCCCAGGAGGGGAGGGTCGCCGGAGCCCATGCGGGGCCCCCAGTCTCGTGGGGACCGGAGAGCAGGCCAGGAAGGAGGGGCAGACCTGCCGGCTGCGGTGTGAAGGCAGCTCAGAGCCTGACCCTGAGCCCTGCCCGAGCAGCCCCAGGCCGTACCTGCTGGTGGCCGTGGGGCCCAGCGTGCATGGGGCGGGGCGGGGGGTGGGATGCGAGGCCTGCGAGAAGCGGGAGGAGAGACTCCAGAGAGAAGTGGAGACCTCAGCTGGATAAGACAGGAGGCTCCTGCTTCCGTGGGGCGGCTCGTTCGTTTCGGAACTGAAACTCCAGTAGCCGAACTGATTTCCTTTCCTGGTTCATTTCTGCTTTCACGCTTTTGAAGACCACGACCGTATGCCATTCTGCTTCGGTGGACGGATGAGTACAGGGCAGAGAGCACCCACTTGTTAATGCGCGTGTCTTCTAAACCCACGGTGACGGAGCAGTACCCAGGCCTGTCCGCAGCGGAACTGGCTCCTTTCTGTCCGCAGCCTCTCGGAGTGCAATCCGGCGCTTCTCGTTCTTTAGAATCACCCAGGGGGGATTTTCAAACTCCTGTTCCCTGGGCCACACCTCCTTTAATTAAGTCCGAATGTCTGGGATGGGGGCCCCCAGCGCTGTGTGTTCCACCTCCCCAGGTGGCTGCAGTGTGCTGTCCAGAGAACCACTGACAGTCCTTTCTCCGCCCGGCCGCCAGCTAGAGTCACAACCAGTGCCCGGCCTCGCCCCACCCCCACCCACACGGGTGTGCTTACTCAGGGGGCCCTTGCAACGCCATTTTATTTTATTGTTTGTTTGTTTGTTTTGCAACACCATCGTAAAAGCTTCCCAGGCCATTCTCCTGTGCAGCCAGAACAAGACCCCTCTAGAGAATGCACCCCTGCCCAGTGGCTGGCTTGCCACCCTTTCCAAAATTTTGTTTAGAACCCCCTCCCCCCCCCACACTTTAACTTACACTGTGGAACTGCTCTAGTATTTTTTATAAGTTTACTTTTTTTTTTTTTTTTTTGCATGCCGCCTACCAGACCATTCCTTAAAGGATAAAATAAAATGATAAAATGTTGTGTAAGACAGAGAGGCTTTCTCAGCACGGGTTTTCTCTCATGACTTTTGAAAACGAGAATTGAAAGCAGTTGAGGTGCAAGTGTGGATTGTGGACATGGCTCTCACTAGAGCATGGGGACGTTCCCCCCCGCCCCGCCCCGGCACAGACCCCTGAAGAGGGAAGGGACCTACCCTGCTCGAGCTTTGACCCGTTTCTTGCAGTTGTTGAAAACTGAGGCATGAAATGCAGATTTATGACTTTTTAAAAAAAACTTTGTGGATTCCCAAGGCGATTATGTTCCCATCACATCGCCGTTAAAACTCAAGTAATGCTTTAAAAGACTAAAATAAAAAATCGGAATCTGGTGCACACAGAGGCCTAACGTGGTCATCCTGACAGCATTGAGTCAAAGTGGGGGAAGCGCCTGGTGCCCTTGATCCATTCCTGTTACGTCAGCAGACAACAAGCCTCCTCTGCACGTAACTTTTGGGAAAGCAAAGCCATAGCGATTCCCCTTCGACGCGTGTTATTTCACTTTTTTGCATAAAATGAGAAGTCGAGGAAAATGTCTTTGGAGAGGGAACCCCTTCACGCTGGACAGGCCTTTGCTTTCATCCCTTTTGACAACGGCACGGCTTTCATTTCTCCCAGGAGTCTCGGTGCCAAGGAAACGTCACCCGTGCTTTGCCAGGCAGCCCGCCACACGCCTGCTTCGCCCGCCCGCCGCTCCTCTGCCCTTACCTTCTTTTTTTTTTTTTTTTTTGGATAAATTCGTGGGAATCTCTTTTACTTCTAAAACAGTTTGAAACTGTTATGTGAGAGCCAATGCTGTTTATATATCAGTTCTGTGTCACTTAAGTTACAAAAAAAAAATTTTTTTTTAACTTAAAACCGGGGCGCCTGAGCGGCTCAGCTGGTTAAGCATCTGACTCTTGGTTTCAGCTCAGGTCGTGATCTCACAGTTCGTGGGTTCGAGCCCCACGTCACTCTGTGCTGGCATCGCAGAGTCTGCCTGGGATTCTCTCTCTACTTTTTTCTGCCCTTCCACCATGTATGCTGTCTCCGTCTCTCTCAAAATAAATAAACAAGAAAAAAATTAAAACCAGCGTTGAGTGTAGAAACCACACTACCACGTCTGACAACACTCGTTTCTGCGTGAGGCTTTTTCTGCCAAGAACCATAAGAATTCTTGAAATCATTTGCACTGTCTTTTACTGATCTTTAGAGTCTCCTTGCTTCAACATGTTCTGGGCTCCCCATTGTTAGGCTCTTAAAAGTCGCATGCTTCCACTGGCCCTAAATCGATGCAGATGTGTGGTGTTGAGTTGCCTTTGGGTCCCATCCATCTGTAGAAGCTGGGTGAGGACAGAGGCCACTCTGTACTGTCCCCAGAGCTCCAACTTGGGAAATCTCAGACATGGGGCGGCTGTTGTCTGCCATCTAGACTGTTCTCCTTAATTGGCTTGTCACATTGGGCCTTAAGATTCTTTAAGCTATATATAGATATAGATATATGTTGTTGTAAACTCCCCAGGGGCACTGTAATTTTCTGAGTGTAGGCTCTGCCTTGTCTTTCCATCCAGCACCACTGGGTCCTGTCTCAGCCCTCTCATTGTACGGGGATTCATCAGTTACAGCCCACTCTTACAAATTCAGCGGTGTTAGGCATGTGTTTGCTGGCAGGATAGCAAGGCGAAAGATGTGGTCCACAGCCACTCTGGGGGCCATCGTGTGCGTCTTGCGCCCAGAGAAACGGAGATCTAACAGTCTTACATAGAGCAAGATCATGTCGATACAGGATGGAGGAGTCAGGACTCCATATGCAATCTTTGTAAAGTCAAAATCTTACATTAGCAAAGAAATCAAGCTTGAATTTGAACTAGACAAATCTAATGAATTTAGACCCAGCTGAAAGACAAAGATGGTTCTAGAAGACCTGAATATCTTCAGATATGTACTGTCAAAGGAACTGATGGATAGAAAACTATTTGCACATGTAAATTCAGAGGCTGTTAGTCATTCCTGAATTCTGAGATCATAAATGTTAAGGCTGCACATTGTACAGTAAAGGGCGTGGGCTCTGTGTAAGACAGATGGGTGTGATATGTTTGGCCCTCCACATACCAATATGGTGCCTTGGCCAAATTACTCTGAACCTCGGTTTTATCAGCTGTAAGTAGTGGATAATAATGGTCTCTGCCTCACAGGATTTTTGTGATAATTAAAATTGGATACTTTGTGGAATGTACCTAAAATACTTGAGCAAATGTGCTGCATGCAATTTTCAATCATGTTAACAATTATTTAATATCTTAATTGTTATTTCTAATGGCCACTGCCTTCCTAATCATGATGAAAGGGACTCCTAGCCATCAAGTTATACAAGCCAAATTCCTCAGAGTCCAACTCTCTGGGACTTTATGGGGGGGGCAGGGGGGTGACTTAAGACATGGAGATTGGCCCTGTGGAAGGACAAAGTGTACAAAGGTAATAACAGAACAGTAGCTATTTATTTAGTAACTCCCTCAAAGCTAGGCATTGTGCTTAGCATGCATTTTCTCTCTTCCTCCCAACATTTCTGCTAAGTAGATTTCACGATTATTTCCAGTTCAGAAGCTGAGACTTAGTCTGCTTGAGGACTTGTCCCTGGCCACACGGATCCGAAGCAACAGAGCTGGGATTTAGACCCCAGTTCTTCCTGGAGCAGAGGCCTGTACTGGCTCCACTATATCCCTTGGCATCTAGCACAGGAACTGTGGAGAGGTGACCACAGAGTTGTTATACAACTTGGGTGGTGGGGCTTTAGGGTCTCCAGGTAGAGGGAGAAATCAAAGGTGTTCCTAAAGTTTCAAGACCAGGTGATTGGGAGAGTAAGAGACAAGAACTGGGAGCCAAGTGAAGAAGGAAGACGGTGGATATCACAGATGCACTGGGTTAAACATCCTTGAACTTGTCCAGCAGAGGTTGGGGATGTGTGGCATGGACCTGGGTTAGTTACTAAGCTGTCACCTGATGGCTTGTTCTGTAGATTCAGCTTCCAACAGACTCTCTCTCTCTCTCTCTCTCTCTCTCTCTCACACACACACACACACACACAAAACCAAAATAGTCGCTGCAGCATATATACTGATACACATATATAGTAGTCCCTCTTTATCTGTGGGGACGTGTTCCCAAATGCCCCGTGGATGCCTCAAATCACAGATAGTATGGAACCCCACGTAGAGTATGTTTTTTCCTATGCATACATACCTATGATAACATTTCATTTGTGTATTAGGCAAAGTACACGATTAACAGTAACTAATAAAACCAATCACAGCAATATGCTGTGATAAAAGTTACCTGTCTGTGGTCTTTCTTCTCTCTCAAAGCATCCTATCACTCACACGTCTTGTGATACTGTGAGATGATAAAAGCCTACGAGATGAGATGAAGTGAGGTGGGTGGTATAGATGCTATGACGTAGCGTTAGGCAACTACTGACCTTCACAGGGAGGAGGGTGGTCTGCTTTGGGACTGCATTTGACCCCAGGTGACCAGAACTGTGGAAAGCAACCCATAGGTAAGGAGGGAGAGGTTACTGTGCACAGTATGCACAGCCTCCACCCATTCACTCATGCCTTTATCGAGAGCCCCCGGTCCATATCCCTGGTTCCCTGGTGCAAATGGTACCAGTGTGTGGAGGACACAAGCTGTGTGACCCCAGGGGAAGGACAGGTCCCCAGGGCCCATGGACCGCTCCCAGCTCTGGCTTCTTACCCTTCTACTTTGTGACATTGGGCGTTACCTCCTCTGGACAACAGGGATAATAATAGTAACTACCCTGCAGGATTTTTGTAAGTATTAAATAAGTCAGTATTTATCAAATACTTAGAACAGAGTTGGCACCCAAGAAGTACTAAGAGTTTATTAAATAAAAAAGATGATAGAGATTCGATTTAGCAGGGGATGGCATCCCTGAAGAGATGACCAGGAACCAAAATCCAGATGATGAGTAGCAGTTAATCTGACGAGCAAGGGATTGACCCACCATCCAAGCAGAGGCAGCAGCGTGTTGAAAGGCCCTGTGGCCACGATGGAGTAGCAAGGACACACGAGGCTAAAAGGAGACTGTTGAGGCAGAGCCGAGAGGAAGGGGAAGATCACGCCAGATTCAGCTGCAGATAACACGAGGGGCTGGGTCATGGAAGGTCGTGTAGACCATTTACCTTTTTTTTATAAACCCAAAATATTATTTTTCATTTACAGTTTTTTTTTTTTATTTACATCCACGTTAGCATATAGTATAACAATGATTTCAGGAGTAGATTCCTTAATGCCCCTCACCCATTTAGCCCGCACCCCCCGCCCCCCGCAACCCTTCCTGCAACCCTCTGTTTGTTCTCCATATTTAAGAGTCTTTTATGTTTTCGTCCCCCTCACTGTTTTTATATTATTTTTACTTCCCTTCCCTTATGTTCATCCGTTTTGTATCTTAAAATCTTCATATGAGTGAAGTCATATGATATTTGTCTTTCTCTAACTGACCAATTTTGCTTAGCATGATACCCTCTAGTTCCATCCATGTAGTTGCAAATGGCAGGATTTCAATCATTCTTTTTGCCGAATAATACTGCTTTGTATATATAAACCACATCTTCTTTATCCATTCATCTATTGATGGACATTTGGGCTCTTTCCATACTTTGGCTATTGTCGATAATGCTGCTATAAACATTGGGGTGCATGTGTCCCTTTGAAACAGCGCACCTGTATCCGTTGGATAAATACCTAGTAGTGCAATTGCTGGGTCATAGGATAGTTCTATTTTTAATTTTTTAAGGAATAATCTCCATACTGTTTTCCAGAAGGACTGCACCAGTTTGCATTCCCAGCAGCAGTGCAAAAGAGACCCTCTTTCTCCGCATCCTTGCCAGCATCTGTTGTTGCCTGAGTTGCTAATGTTAGCCATTCTGATAGGCGTGCGGTGGTATCCCATTGTGGTTTTGACTTGTATTTCCCTGATGAGGAGTGATGTTGAGCATCGTTTCATGTGTCTGTTGGCCATCTGGATGTCTTCTTTGGAGAAGTGTCTGTTCCTGTCTTTAGCCCATTTCCTCACTGGATTATTTTTTTGGGGGTGAGGGTGGTGTTAAGTTTGATAAGTTCATTATAGATTTTGGATACTAACTCTTCATCTGATATGCCATTTGCACATATCTTCTCCCATTCTGTCAGTTGCTTTTTAGTTTTGTTGATTGTATCCTTCGCTGTGCAAAAGCTTTTTATTTTGATGAGGTCCCTAAATAGTTCATTTTTGCTTTTGTTTCCCTTGCCTCTGGAGACATGTTGAGTAAGAAGTTGCTGTGGCCAAGGTCAAAGATGTTCTTGCCTGCTTTCTCCTCGAGGATTTTGATGGCTTCCTGCCTTACACTTAGGTCTTTCATCCATTTTGAGTTGATTTTTGTGTATGGCTTAAGAAAGTGGTCCAGGTTCATTTTTCTGCATGTCACTGTCCCGTTTTCCTGACCATCTAACCTTTATTTTTTTTCCTCTGAGTAATGGGAAGCTGTTAGAGGGTTTTAGGAGGATATGTATTCAGTTTGCTAAGCCAAAGAAGCCAGATACAAATGGGTACTTAACGGCATGTCTCCATTTCTCTAGTTTGTAATAGAACAGGGCTCTGTCACCGTGACAACCACGCTCAGAGTAGTGGCCCTCTCTGGCCGGGGGTGCAGTCCCTGCAAAAGGAGGGGGACCCCCTGGAGTGCTGGAAGTGTGCAGTGTCTTGGTGGTGGCTGTGGTTACCCAGCATACGCTGCACTGTAAACTTAAGGAGAATGTACTTTATCCTCTTAACTGTATGAGGGCACATGAGTGGACCCCCTGTGGATCCAGACCCAGTTTGTAAGCTGTTTCTGTCACCCGGGAAAGAAATAACTTCGGCTTGGCTAGGGGTGGGGGGTGACTGTATTGTTACAGTTAAGAGGATGGACCCGCAGGACTTGGTGATCAGTCAGGGAGAGAGGGTGCAGGGACCAGGGGGCTGGTTGCATTCACGGAGATTCTGAAAGCAGTATTTTGTCATTACCAAGAACACAGCTCGCCGGGGGGGGCGGGGGGGGGGAGTCCAGGCCCCTCCACCTCCCAGCTGTGTGACCTCATGGCAGTTGACCTGGCCTGGCTCACTCTCCTCTGTCAACTGGAAACAGCCATGTCTCCTTTCATATGGTTATTTCAAGGCTTAAATGAGATAATTCATACCAAGTGCTTAGGGGTGCCTGCTCACGGTCTGCTCTTAGCAACTGTTAGCTGTTACTTAGTGGGAGCTGCTTTGGGAATGAGGAGCATGAGTTAAGTCTTAGGTGCGTTGGCTGCTTAGTCTGTTAATCTTGCAGAAGGAGAGGCCAGCAGGCAACTGGTTATAGGGTCCCAAATGCTCAAGGAAAGATCACCACTAAGTCAGGCATGTTGGTTGGGAGGAGGGAGGGCAGCAAGGGACTCTTAGGACCTGGGGGCTGGGGAGGAGGGCGAGCCCAGGCCGAGGGAGAAAGCCAGGGGCGGCCTGTCCCAGGGCTGGGAGGACCAGATGTCTCAGAGCGGGGGATGGCATCAGCAGTGTCCGGAGCTGCTGAGAATTGCGGCCCGATGAGGCCATCTTCTGCAGGCACCACTCCTCATGCCTTCACTGCCTGGCCGCCTGCACCCCTGTCCTGTCCCCAGGCCCCGGGCAGTGTCCCCAGAGCCCCTGCTGCCTCCCAGCTCACCGCCGGTCCGAGTGGCCCCGGACGGGCAGAGCGGGTGTGCCCGGAGGGACCTTCAGCGTTTTCTCACAGTTGACGTCCTCCCCGCCACCCCAGCCCCGTGCATCGCTCTTGCTTACGTGTGTGGGAACGTGAGGAGGGAACTCTCAGCAGCGGTGCTGGATTCCCCTTTTCCAGACCATTTGTTGTACTCTGTGGCCTCGGGCACCTCACTTCTCTAGGCCTCCCTCTGCTTATCAGAAAAGTGAAAGCTGGACGCAGATAATCCCTTTTAGTATTTTGTCCAAAACGCACTGCCCTGAGATGTCGCTGCTCCAGCTGGCTTTCTTACACTGAGCTGTGCGCCCAGACCTTCCCTGCAGTATGTTTACTTACTGATAAGGAACGTAAGACGTGCCGTAGTAAGACGGGCAGATGTGTGAGGATGTGTGCGGGAGCGGAAGGGCTGCAGGAGGCTGGAAAGGAAGGGACTCTGGGTCCCAGGGAGGCCATCAGAGTGTGGGGAGCACTGGCTATGGCCCTCTTAACCTCTCCGTGCCAGCCCCTGTCAGGAGCGTCACTCTTGTCGCTGACCCGCCCCTCCCTGACCTCGCCCAGTCCCCGCAGCCAGCCCAGCACTCTGCGGGACCACCGCTCCCGCCAGCAGTTCTGACCTCCGGGCCCCCCCTTCTTAACTCCGTCTGCGGCCCTGCTCGTTGACACCCTACCCATGGCTTGCTGTTCCGGCAGCACAGGAGTCCTTTCCAGTGCGTCCTCTGCAGGGTGCATTCTAGCGTCACCCAATGTCCCGTAGTAGAAGCTGTCCTGAAATCAGACTCCCAAACCCCGTGCCCCGCGGTGCCAGGGATGTGTCACGGAGCAAACAAAGACGCCTGCCCTTAGATTCTAGCACAAGAAACAGAATGAATGATATGTTAGGAGCCAGTGAAATGTGTGGCAGGAGAGAAAGTAGAATCAAGGCGTTGGGGTTTTGAGTAGGGTGGGTGGGGCAGGCCTCATGCAAATGGTGACAGCTGAGGAAAGACTGGAAGTGGCGAGAGATTAGCCATGTGGATACTTGAAGGAAGAACATCCCTGGCAGAAGGGAAAGTCACTGCAAAGGCCCTGAGGCACAAGTACTCTAGTGTGTTCAGGAACAGCAGAGGGGCCTGGGGGAAGCAGAGTGAGCTAGGAGGAATGTGCTAAGAGGTAAGTGGGAAGCAACTATCCCATCGCCTAGTTCACAGGCTTCAGCTCTTCTGCATGAAAGCAGCACCAGCATTTTGAGCAGAGAAGAGACATGATCTGACTTACGGTTTTAAAATTCTCTCTGTTGAGAAGAGTCTGTAAGGGGGACAAATGGAGAAGTAGGACAGCAGTTCAGAGGCGTTACCCCCCGTAGGAGGCGAGTGAGCTGGGCATGGGCTGGAGCACCGTGCATTTGAGGAGCCACCCGGCGCCTGAAGGATGGAGCGGCCAGGAGCTGAGTTGGAGGCGGCCGCAGTGGAGGCTGAGATGCAGGGAGAAGGCCAGGTTGGGTCTCAGAGGCCAGATACTGGGGCGCGGTGGGGGGAGGGGGGCAGGAGAGCCGCTGGCCTGCGATTCCGGAAGGAGGGCTGAGCTGAGGACAGAACGCGGGCGTCCCAGGCTCACGGAGGCTGTGTCAGGCCGGGGCGCTGGCTGGGGTCCCGAGCACAAGGGCAGAAGGAGGAAGGGGCCCTGCGTGGAGTTGGGTGCGCTGCAGCGTTACGGGCTCAGGAAGCCCCTGCAGCGAACCAGGGACCGAGGCGGGGAGGGCCTTGGGGAACTGGGTCCTGGCAGCCAGGCACAGCGGGTGACCGAGGTAGGGAGAGGGGCCGTGCGCCCAGCATCGTGCTAGTCCTGGGAGAGGACTCGGCCCTGCGACATCTTGGTGCTGGGAGGTGCGACAGGAAGAAGGGGCAGGAGAGGCGGGCAGGGGCTGCCCTTCCACGTCGTGCAGGGAAGGGACACAAGGGAGCGGGGCCGGGGGTGCTGAAAGGCACGGAGCACACGGGGAGGTGTGGAGGGCCCCACACCCTGCGTCAGTGCGCACGCAGCGGCTCTCCCCGGCACGGAGGAGGGACCCCGTGCAGGGGCCGCGCGGTCTCCAGGGACCGGCCGTCCGCAGGGACAGGTGCGGCTGCGCCTCGGGGAACTGGCACGGCGTCCCTTCGGGATGTGACTGTCCTCAGTGACAGGAGGCCGCAAGGGGGGTGAGCCGCGGGAGCCCCGAGCCTGGAGCGCCGTCCGTCCGGGGGTGGCACGTGCAGGGTGCGGCTCGCCTGGCAAGGGGCCAGCGCAGAGCCGCGTGTGAGAGCGGCCGGCGGTCGGGGGCTGCCTACCTGAGGGAAGGATGAAGGAGTCGGGGGCGTGGGCTGTAGCTTTGCAGGGGAGAGGGCAGCCCGGGGAGGACGCTCTGGCTCCAGGGGTGAGAGCCTGAGGTGGGTGAGGACGCGCCCATCCGGAAGGAGGGGAGGCGGGGGCGGAACAGGGCAGCCAGAGGAGGGGCAGTGGCAGTGAGGTGACGGGCCAGGCTACCTGAGCAGGCAAACTCGCAGCTGGCGGCCGGTTAGGGACGGAGACGCTGGCTCAGAAGCTCCAGAGAGGATCAAGGAGAGTCGTTCGTGCAAATTGAGGGGGTTGTGCCGAATTTCAGGAGTCATCAGGTCGTCTCATTTGAAGACCTGGTCTTCCTCAGAGTTGTGACATTGGCCGGAACCCCATCGCAGTTAAACAAGAGAACGCTTGTTTCCCAGGACCGTAGACGTGGTGTTCTCTCTCCAATACCAGTGACAGCCAGTTCATCCTACCTGTGCTACAGTCACTCCATTCAACATGGCCAGGTGTGGGCGTTGACGTTTTCAGAAGGTGAAACATCTCATTTTTTTACGTTTCCAGTTGCTGTAGGGCCTGTGTCTTCTCTCCTGAAATGGTAGTGCTGGATCTGTTTTCTGAGGTGGCTCCAGGGGACTTCACGCACCCCCCCGCCCCCCGCCGTGACTTACCTCGGGCTCCTGCGTCCTCCCTTCCTCACTCCCTCCCTCCCTCTCTGTGCCCAGCAGAGGAGGATGGACAGGCGCCCGCACCCAGCCCTTCCTGCAGACGTGTGTCATCTGCCTGCCGTCCTGAGGAAAGCCCTGGTGGCGTGGCAGCCGTGACTGTGGGTCCACCTGTGTCGTCAGGGCAGTGTTAGCAAACCCACATAACCGCAGGTCCAGGGCCCAGATGTTCTGTCAGCTTGATGGAAGTTATTCTCATCTCCTGTCTTTGGCACCTGTTTCTGACTCCCAGCTGGCGCTGAACGGGGAGAAAAGAGCGGAATCGTTTATTGAAAGCCTCAAAACCCCCGGCCGAGCTTTCCTACAAGCACCATGCACGACTCAGTGACTCTGGTGCTGCCCGCCCCTGTTTTAATAGGACACGTGCAACAATCCAGGGCTCCTGGTGCATCCTGAGCACGCTGCCCCTTCTGCGCCTCTTGTCCTGCCTTGCTTCATTTCCTGATGAAATCCCCGCACTCCTTTCCTTTGGGCCTGCACACCTCCACGGTGTCTCAGCACGGACTTCCTAACACGTGGAGTTCATGGCTCCCACTCGCGACATAGCGTTCTGTATAATCATGACCGGTCTGGCCTCTGCTTATTCAGCCTCCTCACCTTGGAACAGATTTTCAGGGCTTTTGGGAAGTTAGTTTTGGGGGCACCTGGGTGGCTCAGTCGGTTCAGCATCCCAACTTTGGCTCCGGTCATGATCTCACGGTTCGTGAGCCCACGTCGGGCTCTGTGCTGACAGCTCAGAGCCTAGAGCCTACTTTGGATTTTGTGTGTTTCTCTCTCAAAAATAAACAAACCTTTGAAAAAAAAATTTTTAAGAAAATTTTTGTAATTATGGTCACCCGCCAACCCCTTACACGTTACCCTCAGTGATCCTGAACTATTTGTGCAAGTGCTCATACCCTTTTGGACACTGTTGACCTGAAGCACTGCGCCCCCCCCCCCCACCATGTGTTTTTCTTCAAGCAAACGTCTTTGTACTCATTCTCCAGGACAGAAGCTCCCACCGTGAAGTCTGCCCAGGCTCTCGCCCCATGACATGACATGTTGTGTGGCAGTCGTTAACACTGTACTTTGTAAAAAGTCCCCGGGAAGCAGACGCTGTGTCCTTACATTTTCATTCTGTAGAACTTAGCCTGAGCCTCAGGTGAATGGACAGAAGGAGATGTGGGTTCAGCAGCTCCACCCCAGGCTGCTTGGTGATGGGCAGTGGTAAGAGGGTTTTGTGTCTCAGGGAGCACAGGAAAGCTTTGCCAGGGTCTCTGATGTTGGGTAAGGAACTTTGTCTTCGAGCCTCAGTTTCCTTGTCTGTAGAGTGTGAGCCCGCAGACCCTTCCCACTGCTGACGTCCTCTGCCTTTCTGCTGTATTGCCGATCGCCCACAAGTTCTGCAGCTGAACACTGGTTTGTTGTTTGGCTCTGCCCCTCTCTCCCCTCCTGCCCTCTCTGGTGTTAGTACCAAAGTACGAGGACAAACAGACACAGGGCTACAGTTCCCTTTGCAGCCTGGGTGCCACGCCTGTTGGAACACTTTCACGGGCTCAGCCACAAGGGACCATGAGAAGGGATGGGGGCGCCTGGGTGGCCCAGTTGGATAAGCGTCTGACTCCGGATTTTGGCTCAGGTCGTGACCTCCCGGTTCCTGAGATCCAGCCCTGTGTCGGGCTCTGTGCTGACAGCACAGAGCCTGCTTGGGCTTCTCTCTCCTCTCTCTCTCCCAAAATAAACTGTCCTTGAAAGAAAAGTGGGATATAGACAAATGTAGGGCTGGACAAGTTTATTTTTTATATTTGTATGTTCTCTTTGGCATGCTGTTGTGGTGTGCAGTTCTGTGCTGGCCCACATATAGATTTGGGTAACCACTCTAAGCGTGGGGCATTGAAACACATTAAGGAAGTGTACAGCCTGCACAGCAAATTAAAACTGCACCCCACCATGCATCATAAGACCCATCCTATACATTGTTGCCGCTAAAGTGTGAGAAAGTACAGGAGGTAGGCATCATCTCATTTGTTGCGTACCGTGTGGGAATAGGTATTTTATCTCTTTTACCCAGAAGAACAGAGACCACGTGAAGGTATGGAAAAGGCCAGGACATTGGGGCCTGAGACTATCTATTCAGACCTGATGCCACCGCGTACTGGGCACCATCATGCAAACCAGAAGGACCAACCTTTCTGAGCTTCTGGTTCTTCCAGCATAGAATCAGAGAAGTTTGCTGTGAGGATTTCCTAATAACAGACCTGTACCTCTTCTGTGTGCGGCTTGTGGGAACCAATGGAAATGGCCAGCGATTCAGAATAACCATCCCGGTGAGCTCTACCTGGAGGGAAAAACAGATTCGCTCTTTGAAATCTAACTTCCATATCTGGAGTCAGTGAGCCGTCGACACCCTCCCCGTGGGGCAAATCACTGGGAGTCACTGAAGCTGGAGTGCCGGGGGACGGGGCTCAGCTCAGCTTTGTCAGCAGTAGGCTCTGCCTTGTAAGTAGAGTGGAAGGTTCTGGGCTGAAATCTTAAATCAGTACAGCTTTTTTGGTGAAGACACAAATGCAGAGACAACATTTTATAAAGCACAGTTGATGCCCTTTTTGTTTCACTCACTTAAGACCCTTCCCTAGCAGTCCCTAATCCTTCACAACCAAGGGTTCAAATGAAGATCTTGTGACAGAGGAAGTTTTGTCTCTCTCAGCCCTCTCCTTGACTTGTTATACACACACACACACACGCAGACACGTAACGTAAATGTTCTTTTATGTGATGATTTTATGTCAGCATGGAGAAAAGCAGGAGCTCTTGAAATCCACCCCAAATTCAAATTCACCCTGACTACTGACCTGTCCTGTTTATTGTGGAGGCTAATTAAGCCTAGAGGAGTCAGTTAATCCCCTTTTCTTCCATTATTTTTCAGTAGATACCCTGGGTTTTATAGGGAGACTTGAGTACTTCATTGGAAAACTATACTTTTTTAGACTGTGGTCACTTTTCCAGGCTGATTGTGGTCACTTTTACAGACTGCCCCTCGTCTTTCATGGGTCTGTGAGTTGTAATGGGCTGCTGGCAGTGCAAATGAGTCTTGTCTACGGGCATGAGCTGAGTCCTGCCTGGTGGAGGAAATGCCTCAACTCCATAGAAAAGCCCATTTTTTGGATCATTTGCCGGTTCTTCTCCATATTCCCAATCTATCAATGTGTCAGTTCTCCTTGGAACCATTATAGCATCTCAGTTAAATAAAATGAACTATTAAGAGAAGAATGATTTTTAAAAAATGATCTTTTAACAACTTTTAGCAAGAAACTTCTAGGTCAATGTAGATAAACCTGGTTCTGTCTGAGGTTGTCTTTGAGTAGAGAACAGAAACACCACGACCACCCCTGCAGTGAGCCCCTGTCCCCCCACAGCCTGTCTTCACGCCCACCATCACCCAGACCCGTTCTACAGTTGACAGCATTTGCAGCGCACGTTTGTTGAAAAGTTTGAGATGGAATTAGAATTTAGAACAAATTGCCAAGAATTGCTATTACCAAGGGGATTGAGAAGGCAGTGATAATAACAAACAGCAAGTTGACTGTAAAATTTGTGCATTTGAGGCCTTTCTCCTCAACCGTGAAGTAAGAGAAAGCCTTTCAGGGTAAGGTGGCGTGGTCGGAGGGCATTGTCGGGCACCTACAGCGCACTCAGCTGCCCTGCTCACTCGCTGTGCTGCTGATAACCTTAGGGTTCTCAGCTGGTTTTTAAGAGTGTACCGGTGGTCACAAAACTGCTTTGGGCTAGAGACTCAAGTTGACTAGTCCTGGGCAGAATTCTTGAGGCGACAGCACATACAGCAGTAAACCACTTCTGTCTACATACCCGAGGGGACAATAGCAGGGGCGGGGATCCCGGGGAAGGATCACATTCTGGAGACCTTCTGCTCTGAGAATGCGTGCAGCTGAAAGCTCGGTAATAGGGAGAATCCTGTGTCCTATCGTATCTATACTGTAAATAAAAACGTGCCAATCATCGTCTCTATGGCAGTGAACTCCTGTCCATGCATGTCCTTCTATACATCGAGGAGTGTACTTCTAGGATAAATTCCCAAATTAATTTTTAATTTTAAGTAACCTAAATCTTGATTAAGCGTTCCCAGAAATTATTTTACTTAGAATTAGAAAGTCAGCATGCACGTAGCCTCAATTTTTTTGAGTGAAGAATAAGATCTTTGTAATTCTTTGCCTCCTTTAATTTCAAGCTGAATAAATAAATAAAAGGAAGTATTTCCTTTTTTTACTCGAAAGGACTACTTTATTTTTTTTATCATCATGAAGAAAGATTTTAATGTACATCATAGTATACTTCAGTTAGGCAGACACAATCATAAGATAAAAACACCACTTAAAATGTTGCTTTAAAGGGCAGTTTGCTGTGTCCAGGCCTGATAATCCATTAGTACACGTTGGTTCAGCTGTACCAGTTATAAAAATATTGATATAGGTCCATAGTGGTTGAATAGTTACTGCCCCAAGCCTATTGAGTACCTAAAGGAAGTATTTTCTTATGTTGACTTTTGTACTTCGTGCTTTACACGGAGGTCAGGGACTAGGTCTTAATCCTCTCTGCTCCCCCAGCATCTTGCACGTGCCTGGTAGACAGTAAGCACTCAATAAATGTGGGAGGAGAATGAAGAACCGAAGCGATGAGCTACTGAAGTAACATTCTAACCATGTGAAAGGTTTACACATGTCCTTTTCTATTGTGTTCAATATGGGTTTGATTTACTGCTTATCCATATACCAAGATAGAGACTTGATCTTGTTTTTTGTTGTTGTTTTTAAGAAAAATCATATCCTGAATGTTTTTGTGTGCAAACATTGCACAGAGGTTAGAAACACACATAGCAGACACTTAACAGGGGTAAGTTACCTCTGGGAGTTGGCAGGGGCCTGAGAACCAGCATCTGGATGCTTCGTGCTTCTGGAAACACAAATCCACAAAAGAGGAGCCTGAGGAAGTAAAAAAAAAAAAAAAAAATGTTTTTCCCCCTGGGTTTGGTCAACCCAGTGACTTAGAAACGTGATCCAGGATCCAGGGCCTTCCCACTCGGCCATTTTCAGCATGTTTATGGCCTCACGCAGCTTCAGTAATTACAGGTATTCTATCATCAGTGTGACCGAGTTCAGCCAACAAGAGAGGTATTTTTGCTTATGCATCAGTCTATATTAGTGAGGAAAGACTGCCCTCAGACTGCCTCTCAGATCCTGTTGGCCACGATCAAGTCCAGCCCGTGCTATAGACCCAGTCCTTTGAGAGGGAGAAGAGATCACTGTGATTTGCTTGGACCAATCTTGAGTCCTACCTTGGTCTGGGAGGGGCCCCTGTCTTGAAGACATGGCCCTGCACAGACTAGCACCCCCTCCAAAGAGACCACACCCTGCCCCTGAGAAGGACAGGAGAAGGGTGGATTTCGTTAACAGACAGCAGTATGGAAAATTCGTTTTACTTTATACCCTTCCGTATCATGTCAATTGTCAACTACTTTTATAATTAGCTTTTTTAACGCATGATTACTAGTAAGATTCTTTCTTGATCTGCAGTTAAAATGCAGCACGGTCCAGTGACTCACCAAGTTCAGGGACTGTGGGCTGTTTCTTGCAGCTTGACTCACCATTTAGCCAAAGCAAATATCTTGACAAGCTTCTGCCTCTGTGTCTTCGCCTGCAAAATTAAATGAAACCCTCTCTACTCCCCATCTCACAGGGATATTGGAAATTACTAAAAGGATTAAATAAAGTCATCACACATTGTCAGGCTCCTGCACCACTTACCCAACCAGATGAAAGGGTTAAATGTCAGGTCTTACACTGCATAATTCGAAGCTAGTGATGAGTAAAGAGCATTGATTCCATGGCCATATTCAAGTGTATCAGGTTGATTCTGTTACTTTTGGTTTTCATCAAGAGATTTCTTTTCTTAGTATGAGAACCTAGTGGCAGAAGGTCAGTGACGGAGACTGAGGAAGGTATCCTTTGCTGGCCTCCTACCTCCAGAGCCGGCCCCTCTCCGTGCCCTGGGGCCAGCTGCCATCCACTGAGTGGCAGACATTTCCCTCCACATTGCTCCACAAAGGTTACACACCCCTCAATCTCTATTCCCACATATCTCTGGTCCAAATCCTTAATTTCTCTGAGTCCACTTCTCTGAAATGTTCAGTTCTATCCTGAGGGAAATCGGCTGATTAAAATACTCAAAATGTGGATGACAGTTCACCCTCAGCATCTCCCACAGGGTAGCTACACTTAAAAAGAAGTCTTTATTAATCTGTAGTTAGTGAAATGTTTGTTTAGAATAAGCAGGCCTTCCCACTGTCCCTTGGGTCAGCCGGCCGACCACAACTTTATCAGGACAAAAAGGAGAACAGTTTAAAATCCCGGTTTCTGAAATGTTTCCCACTGTCTCTGACGGTGCTCATCACCATTTCCACAGTGACTCAGTGAAATAAATGTCTAGATACTTCCCACCCCCCCCCCCCCCCCCACAGCCTCATGTGTTGGGATTAGCCCTGGACCTCCACTGTTTTTTTCTCCTTCCCCCTTTGCCGCCAACACTGTGGGGCCGGGCACAGAGTGCCACTAGGGTGCTGTGGGAGTCACGTGCTGGGAAGAGCCCCAGAGCACCTTGCACTGACCATCGCTGGTCCAGGACAGCGGGCTTCCCTTCTAGCGGCTCCTGCCTTCTCTTCCACAGCCGTCCACAGAACTCGGACAGGATTACAGGACGCACATGCGAGTTCTCCTCGCTCAACAGTTGATTCCTTTTCAATATTTTGGTTTAGAATTTGTAATAATTCAAAAGCCTAAACTTGTTTGGGCAGGGGGGAGAGGGCTGTTAATTTGTTTACAGTTTTCCTTGCAAACTGCTTCAGCAAATGTTTTATCTGCTCATTATCTGTCATTATCATTAAATGTCAGTATCTCCCCTGGATGCTCAGAATTCAGAATTCAGCTGAGAATGTGCACCTGTACCGTTCAGTCTTTTTCTGAAAAAGGAAGGGAGCTTCACAGCTGACCTGTCCTACGTGAAGAAGTGATTCAGGGCTGTGCTAATCCTCCGTGTCTCTGCCCAACAGCTCTGCCGCCTGGAGCGCTGTTTATCTGCGGGGCAGTACCAGGGAAGCCTGTTTGCCGATCAGCCTGTGATGTTCATCACCCCGGCCAGCAACCCCCCCAGACCCAAGCTGTGGGAACTGGTCCTCCTCTGTGGGGGTCAGATCACGAGAATCCCACGCCAGGCCGGCATCTTCATCGGACCCTCCCAAGGGAAGAGGAAGGCGACAGTCAAGTATCTGTCAGAAACGTGGATCTTAGGTAGGGATCTGCGCACAGGGATGGACGGGGGAGGTGCCTTCCGAGAGCAACAGCTGTTGGTGTGCCCTTCAGAGCCACTCTTCTGTGGTCCCAGGCACACAGATGGGTTTTCCTGGAGGAAACATGATGCCCATGCCCTCCTCCGTGTAGTCGCGGGACTTTTGAATGGACATCTCTGCATCCAAGCATCTGCCTTTGACAGAATCCAATACTTACTCTTGGTCACAAGGCAACCCAGAATCTCTGCTTTTTCCTGTCAGCCCACATAGAGTTCACAAGGACAGAGGAAATCCTATTAGGTTTTACCTACTTCACCTCACCAGCTAGTGTGAAAGACCCAGCCTACCCCCGGCTACCCCGAACCTTAAAGCCTGCCCACCCTCAGCTCAGCTGGTCTCCCCGCTGGGCACTGGTCTTGCTCTCCTCCCAGAGCTGGGGGTCAGGGCCCAGCTCCCAAGACCCCCCCACCCAGGGTGTCACCCACTTCTCCTGACACTCATTTGTTCACCTGCCGCAAAAGATATCCTTCCGTGCAAAAGGAGCTACAGTTTTCTTTTCAGAAACTAAGATAAGAACCTAATGTCCGTGTCTGGGATCAGTGCAGCATTGAAGGTGGCCGGTGCTTCACTTGACTGGGGGGGTGAGAGGTACAAGATAAGCCCGCTTGCCAGGAGGCTGGCGGTGTGGGAACAGGCGGGCTGCGTCCATTACCCCGGCTCTGGGGGGCTGTGGGGGTGTTCAGGAGAAGCAGGTGGACAGGGTGGTGAGGTGACTCCGCCAGCAGCGCGGAGTGGGCACAGGGGAGGCTGCGATGGGCGGCATTCGTGCGGTCATGGTGCTGTACGTGCTCAGGCCCCACTTTGGGGAGAAATCTTCTTGCTCTGGGTCTGATGAACACAGAGGCTAGGGCTGTCATCGCACGTCCCACAGACGGGAACACCAAAACTCGCAGCCTGGAGGCCCAAAGTCAGAACTGGTTTCGCCAGAAACCTTCCCTTCTTCAGCCTCACTGGACTACGTCAGTGTCAGCACCTTGAGGCGGGATCCTTACCTGGCTTCTTGAGATTTGAGAAGTGTGTTCTCCTCCTGCCTCCCTGTTCCAGGCTCCCTATTCCTGCCTCCAAATCCCAAACTGCTGGCTTTTCTCACCCCTTCCCAGACATTATCCTTTAACAGATAAGAGGATACTATGTCCAAGTTTTATTCATAGATCACTACAGACAGTTTATGAATATCTTTTAAATGATTGATGGTCATTCTTTGATATTTTTTAAAGTATGGCAATCAAGAGTAATTTTTTTTTTTTTTTTACTATCTGGTGCAGAGTAATTTATCTTTCGCCTGGAAACTTATTTCAGAAAAAAAAAATCTATGATTTTAGCTACAGTCCAAGAGCCAAGCGGCTGTTTACTCTCTTCTGAATGCCAAGAATATAACCTTCAAAACATCCTATGTTCTGAAACAGAGGTTGTTTTGTTGTTTTTAGAAAAGTGCATGTGTCAAAATGACACCAACTGGAAACCAGAATTTCGCTTTTGAAACAACTGTCTCTTTCAGCTAACGGAACTGTGCACATGATTGATATCAGCCGTCCGTATCAACAGCTCACCTCTTCAGCGTCGGCTGTGTGCCGTGCACACAGGCCAGCGTCTGGGTCTACACAGCTATGATTTCCAGGTTGGGGAGCTCTGTCGCCCCTTCCTGTTGCCTCGTGCGCAGTCCAGCCGCCCGCCTAGTTCCTCCAGTTGTTTGTCCCCTCGGCTCCTCTGTGCGTGGGTTTTTAGGAGGCAGAGGTCTACCTGCTTGACCCCAGCGCTTAACCTTCCCAGGGCCCTGTGGAATTCTCTGAGATTCAGAGCTGGAGCTGGGGGCCCAAGCTTCTTTCCTCTGCCATAATTCATGTCCTGTTTCTGGTTTGTCATTGATTACACCATCCGCGTGTGCCCTTGGCAGCTTCCGGGCATTGTGTGTTCTGGAATCCTTGGCCCTCGGCGTGGTGAAATCCTCACCCCGAAGGTGAGTGCCCCGACTCTGGCCACTGCCCCTGTCTGCACCAGGTCCTCTGTGGTGACTTGGGTGTCAGAACAGGTATTTTTTCAAATGTTTATGAGTTTCTGTTCTTCTCTTTTTTAATTGAGTTACAGTAGCTCCAGCCTTGTGCAAATTAAGGAGAGTCCATGTGCATGTCTCTGCGTGTGCATAGACCCACAGGGCACATGGTCCTGAGTCGTGCATTTCCTTTCGCATCAGAGTTCTGCCCCTGGCTTCTGCTCTGACCGGAGGCAAATCACCTGTGCTCTCTGGACCTAATTTCCGTCATCTAGTCAACAGGCTAATAGCCTCTGGCCTGCTTACCTCACACGATGGGCGAAGGAGATCGCACCAGAGAGTGCAGGACACCTTCCCGCATGGTGGGCATCATCCATTGTCATCGGGGGACAGCATCCACTGACATGGCAACGCTTTCTCCTCTGAAGACTTTTCTCCTTCCCCTGAGCCTCCACTGTGAGTGCTTCTAGAGAAGTTTTATTCTCAAAATGTGCGATTAAAATGCCTTCTAATTAAAATTAAAGCCATGTTAAGACTGAATTGACAGAAAGTTATGTGAGAAATCATGAAAAGCATGTGCTACAACTAGATCCTCAGGTGGAGTCCTGAGACTGAAGACCAGTTTGAATCGAGTAGTTCTTAAAGTCTGAAAAAAGTCTCTGAAAAAGGAGCTTGTTGCATCTACTTTCGGATTTATATTTTGCTTTCCAGAATAAAGATCCCAAGGATTTTGTTTTTTAGTACCTTTATATTTATCCTTATATTTTGTGGGATCTTTGTTTATGCAGATACAATAAAGTCACAAGGGATCGACTTTTTTTTTTTTTTTTTAGCCATTAGAAACCCCTGAGAAGATTGGTTTGTTTTGTTGTTGTTGTTTTGATAGAGGGAAAGATGGACATCATCAAAAAAAAAAGTCTCTTTCCCTAAGACTCCGACATCCTAGCTTAGATTCCTCCAGATAAGCCGCCTTTTCCCTTCACTGTCTGATCCGACATTTGCATTGAAAAGCAAACAAACAAAACTGTCAAGTGATTATTCCAGCATAAGACTTTCTCCAAATGTCCAGCTTTTTCCTTGGAGGACGCTGCTCAGGGGTGACCACGGAGCATTCACCCTCCTGGCTGTTGGCATAGAACAGTGTGAATTTATGAGACCTCCAAACAAGGCTCACCATGCGGAATGTAAGCCGTGTCTTACTCATTTGCTCCATGGAGGATCTCACACGCTGAGTTGCTTTATAACGAGGCTGTCTGAACGGCCATGACTGTGTTCCCACTTCATTCCCCAGAGTCCATTTTCCCTGAAACAGCAGTACACTTAGGCCAAGATTCTCGATGAATCATTCAACCAGAAGGAGAAATGGGGATTTTTGAGAGAGAAAATACTTGTGGGCATTTGAATATGTATGAAAATAAACAGGAAAACAAAAACCAAATTCCCGGCACTAGGAAACAAAATGTTACCTTTACCTGACTTTGGAATGGAAGCATTTTCCAGTAATTTTCTTTACCCCAGCACTCCCAGAGAGTAGAATTCCCATTTCACATGTCAAGAAACTAAGACAGGCAAGTCCTAAGTAATTTGGCTGGCAGCTTAAGTGAGGCTTTCAGGGCGGGTGGGGGAGGGTGGTTGGGAGCCCCGAGACCCCGTACATTCATCACTAGTCTGCGAATTTTTGTGCTGTAATCATTTCTTTTCACTCTCTTCATCCCTAGTTGGTGTTATCACTTAAAGCTGGTTTGGCCTTTCTCAGAAGACATATTTCCAGTCTCGGGCGCCCTTTTATTGTCTGGGCTACATTCAAGTGATAAGACATACATTTCATGCTCTTGTGGGAACATAGAGTAATATGCTCAACAGCGTTGCCAAAGGGGAAAAAAAAATTGCCTCAGCATGATTTCCTTATAACTTATAAAAAGCATTTGATTTGAATGTCACCCCATGTCAATGTTTTCAGGAAAAAGATCTCTGATAGCATGTGGGCCTTTTGCAGGCGAGCATAGATCATTGTTTCCCCGGATGTCTGACCACAGAACGAGGCCCAGAAAAATGCATGCTCTTAAACATGGCATTCTGTTAACCAAGGCCACTCAGGAGGCTTGGCCCTTATGGTGCATGACTGAACAACTAATATCAGGGCTCTTCGAGTCCCTCGTGGTCCACATTTTTACTGCACAGGTAAGGAACCAGTCGCATGGAAGTGAAGCCATTTGCTGAGGATGGAAAGAGGAAGAAGAGACAGGAAAGGACGAGGTGGGGGTGGGCGGGACCGGTCTGTCCGCAGCCTGCCCCCTCCTCAGAACATGTCTGATACCATCCTCACACTTTGGTTTCCACACCCAGGAGCTCCACAACCATGCAGAAAATGACAGTACACTTTTAAGACACAATCTAAGACAATAAGACACATGATTTTTGTTTTGAGTTGTTCTCAAACGGAGGAAATCTGCTAGGCTAGAAATGAATGAGAACTAAAGCTGATTTGTATAATTTTATAATTTCAACATCTTGTGTGTTTATGTTTTTAAGAAAAATGTGTGTGTGTGTGTGTGTGTGTATATATATATATATACATATATATATAGCTTATTTTTTTAATTAACTGCTAGCTGCTGAAACAATGTGTGTTAGCCTTGGAAAGATATGGGAAGAGTGTGCTCAGAAGGTGGATTTCCCTTTAATTGTATTCATTGGCAACCAGTGGTCCTAGATGTTCATCTTTGAATTTTCCTAACCTGTCTCACTTGGCTCCCCTTTGTTAAATTTATGCCAACCGACCTCCTGTCACTGGATGTGAGCATCAACAGTGATAGAAAAGTTCAAAAGCATTTTAAAGACAAGTAGACAACGTGGAAAATAAAAGACCCTTCTCTGCACCTTACTAGCCAAGACACAGTTTTTTAAGCTTCACTTAAGAACAAAAAACAAAATAGAACATGACAATCAGC